CATTAGGCATCTAAAATAGCATAGTATTACGTCGCATGCTGCTCCATATTAAGACTCTATTCAAGGAATCCCTCCCAATCGAATACACATTTCTGAATGTCGCTTGACATTTCAGTGCCCTGCTGGCACATGACATGTTCAATAGATGGGGCTCGAATAGGGATAGGCGGAGCCTAGCCCCATCAATATTGGAGTACAGCGCATGATTATTGCAGAGGGAATATGGGACGTCCATGTGTATGCTTCAGTGATCAGAAAAGTAAATTAGACTTAATTATATAATACTTCCTGGATAAACTTGTTTTTTAAGCCTTATTAGGTGGGCTCCCTCAGTAGAGCGGGGTCAGATGAGGTTAAGCGAAACATACCCCAAATATTGAAGTACGTCTGGAGTCATAGTTGATTTGCGTATTGCAATACCGGCGAAAATGATTTGATTTTGCAGCAGAATGTTAACTATTTATCGGAGACTCTGTTTATCTCATTTATGTAGCCATGGCATCCAAAAACTTGATTATACAACTTAGCGAAATTTGCCTTGCTGCTCGTTTATGGAACTTGCAAACTGCAGAAAAATTAGCAGAGGTCTTAAAGAAAAGTTAGACTGCAGTTTTACTTTGATCATGCACAAATGAAGACACTTGTTTATTACTTATTTACGTGAAAGTGAACCACATTTTCAAGTTCAGCACGCGTAGAGAGTGCTGGCTAATGTTTCACATGGTTTCGCGTAGACCGTAGGTCCTGCCACAGATTGGCGTAGCCAGAGGAAGGGAGGAGGCAGTGGGGAAAAATTTAAAAATAAGTGAATATATACGGGTTTTCTACTGATTTCTGCTTTATCCATGCAGCAAGCAGCCTAGGTAGACAAACTTCGGATAACCTCTCTGACTCACTACCAACTTAGCTTAGTTTCGATCTGCTCCTTCATGGATATGCACTTTGATAGAAGGATTGGATGCCAAGTCAAGGTCTAGGAGAAAGTCCAGTGATATCTATTTGAGGCTAAATATCCGTGCACTTCAGCGTTCATTCGATATGGATGCGTGCTGAAAGGCTTAGCAACACTGGCCGATATTTGTAGCACTGCATTCCTACGTATCATACAGGCAAACCATAATTAACTGCTTTTTAAACGGGTGCATTTACTATCCACAGTTAACAGACATGCATTTGTATGACTCAGAGCTAGAGCGGAAGACCCACAATTTGAGTCAGCCGGGCGGCGGGCGTTTCTGCCTGAGAACATTCTCATCCACCATTCTGTTTAACTTAAAATACTTATTTAGTTGTGGATAAAGTAAAAACACAGACACTAGCATACAAATATTTTAGGATTTGCCCTGTTTTCAGGGGGCATCTGAGAAGGGTGGAAACAAAGCCATTTTCCTTAAAAATGAAACCTCTTTTAACTTATCTGAGGCCTAGTTTGCGTTTCCCTTTAGCAATTTTTTTGTAAGTTAACGCTGCCTGCGTTGAAGTAGTCAGTGACAACTTACATGGCGTACTACTTAGTACTAAATCAGCGAAACAAAAGTACCCTCACTTAAAAATATTTTATGCCAAGAACTTAATGAATGCAAAACCAAAATTTGTGATTTTTCATATTGCACATCGTCAAATTGAATGAATTTTAACAAATATGTGAGATCAGGTTCTCGTTGCAAATAAGATGGGGGTACAAGCTGCGTGCATTAATCCGAACTTTCGGACTCGTGCTAGGACCCCTCATCAGAGCATGAGAGAATGCAAAGAAGAAGTTGGATAGGAGTGATGTTCTTAATAAGGCTGTACCTACGCCGTGGGATGGCGTGCATCCTTGGCTGGAAACTGGGCCACGTCTCTTAACCGCATGGATGTAGGGCGTGAGAGCAGAGAAGTACATTAACGTGTCTAATTACGGAGTTGGTGTCACACTCCCAGGTCTCCAACAGTTTTCACCCCGTCTTAGTGCTGGCTTGTGCCATTCTCCGCGTGTTCTCGAAGTTGAATTACTGGTCTTCCTTCCTCTTCGAAGCGTCCGCTTGCGCTCAGCTATTCGTAGGCTGAATGGTCGTCTGGTCTGGCCTGTACAAGGGCACGAACAGTCATGAAATGGGATCTGACAGATTACACCATATAATTCACCTGCCTTCAGTCCGCCCTTCATGTGCATGATTGTGGTATGAATGGTAGCTGTCGGCCGATGGGGGCATGGTCACGTTGAACTGAGCGGCTATACGTTTCATGGCTTCTGCCACTCACTTTACATAAGACAGAGGATGTCAGCTTATTGGCGGCTGTCGCCTGCCGGCTACTTGTGGGCGGCGGCCGCATAGGAATCTGTTTAGGTGCTAGTTGGTCCCAAA